TTTCATCCAAACTCTCTCCCCCAACAAAGAGTATATATCCCCTGGGTTCAGCCACTGGACTAGTCCGTATTTAGCTGGTAGCAAGATAAGACATGCCTGGGCTTCCCCTTTGCCTTCCCCTTCTCTTCCCAATTTTTGATAAGGGGTCACGTTGGTTCCATACAGAAAAATGGGACTGTCCTGTCCACTAGGCAACAAAACTTGTGTGACGGTCAGCCCCAATTGGGCGAGGTGTGAGAAAGGGGTAATCCAGTCCACCAGTCCCTGTGGAATTCTTGCACTTACCTTTCAACTAGGTAAGGTCTTGTGCACTTACCTTTCAACTAGGTAAGGTGTTGTTTTGGGATATTACCAGCCTTTGAGACTCTTAATTGCAGCCCCAGTCCGGGGACTACTAGTATGGCGCTGAAAAAGAAAATTGTGGTAAAGTAGGGAACACCTGTAAGTTCCCCCACTTGAATTATCTTTTTGATTGTAATTGGTCTCTCAGGTGTCGCCCATTTATCAAAAAGTGCTAGTTCCCAGGTTCTTTGCGTTGGAACTCTACCTGCAGGCCAGAGAGGGTGAAGCTCAATGGAAGAAGGTTCTGAACTTACTTGAGCTTTTGCTCCCGCAACCGAGGAATTGAATTTTTAGCAGACTTACCATCAGTTTGCTCTCCCCTTTTAATCCATTCCGTTAGCTCCTGGAGTTCAGGTTCTACCATTTCCAGTTTCCAGCAGAAGGTTGTATCGTTGGTAACGAATTTCACAGCCTGCTCTACTTCAAACCAAGGGTAGCTTGGCAACTAGCATCAATGGTTTATTTGCATCCCTTTTATTAGAATCATCTGTTTTTCCTTTGAAAATGATGCCTTACCCCTATTTTCAGCTAAGGATGAGTTGGGGTCTTCTAAACAATCTCCATTCTGGCACTGATTGCTCCGGGGATGATAGTTAAGCTCAGTAGCTGACGAGGACTCACAGAGCCCAAATGACAGTCCTTACAAATCTACAGTTCATGACTGTAGAAAGGAAAAGCCTGCAGTACAGCAACAACATTAAAACGAGGACATGCATCACAACCACAGGCCGCCTTCCAGCATAGGGTCTGGAGAGGCCAAGTACAAGCTCCCAGTGCCCTCTCTGTACCAGGGCCATACCAGGACGCACTTTATCTCTTGGATCAAGAACCACCAATGCGAGCACACACCACTTTAGAAACCAGGGAGCACTAATTGGAGTCTCAGCCAGGATGGCTTTTAGCTGCTGGTAATCTGGACGTCTTCTTACATAGCCAGTCCCAAACCCAGTGGCCTCCCTGAGACCAGGTAAAAATGGCTAATGTTACTGCTAGCAGCAAACAACTGTGATAGCCTCTAACTCGTGGCTACCCATAAACACAATGAGTCACTTCTTTTCCTTGCTTTGATCAAAGGGTCTGCACTGTGTGGCTGTTTTAGCAAAACATCTCTTGCCGACTTCAGCACCTCTGGAGTTAGCCCTCACAGCAAAGGTAACTACAGCAAAGTGCTTGACTTTCTTGCTGGGCAAAGATTTGCTTGGAAAGTCCTTCAGCCTGAAGTGTAAGCTGCCTGTAGAATGATGTGACGTCCACAACAGCCTCCTCTTTGCGCAGACGCCTTCTGCTGCCTGGGCCAAAAAGTCAGCAGACACATAGGAGTTATCCCACCATTAGCCGCCCGCCCCTGTCTGTGTCGGTGCTAATTAGGTTACAGGATTGTTTATATTGTTAACCTGGGGTATCCAGGTTGACCCATGGGATGCGCCCGGGGTTGTGTGGGCACCATCGGGCTTACTCTAGCCAACGTTTTGGTGCTTCTTTTTTCTCCCACTATCATTGCTAGTAGAGAATGCGGGGTGGTTTTCTTTTGTTCTTCTGTACAGCCTGTTAAGGACACCTTCTGCCGCCCACCTTTCTGCTTTTCAGTACGTACCTCCGTGTGTCCTGCCATAATACCCAGAGCAGGTCTCCTCCTGTCCAGTCTCAGTTTTCCCGACTGCACAACGATTCTAAAGGTGCTTTTGAGTTCTCAAAGCCTAGGATTCTGTAAAAGACCAAAAAACAAAAGACGAAAACAAAAACAAAATCCATCTGAGCTCCTCACTTGTGGCGTATGAGGAAAAGAACAGAGCATTTGAACCTGGGATGTTGAGAGGATGAGTAGGTACAGCCAGCACCTCAGGAATCATCCACCCCATCCCGTCCCATCTCCTTCCTTTCCTGCTTTTCGTGCTTAGCAGAGAGGAGCCTGGAGAGCCGGTCGTTTTTTGTCTTGTCCCCCCTCTTTCACCCCACACCCCTGATGCACGAGGGGCACCACCAGATGCTCTCTGTTCTTCAGTGGCGTCGAAACCTACAGCATCTTCTACTGTCAAAATAATTTTTGAAAGAGGATCTATTAGCACGTACTTGGGTTTTTTCACAGCTTTAAAATGTATTCCCTAGTGAATACGCTAAAGGAGAGAGAGATTTTCTCCTAAATGGAAATTCCTAGCTTGAGGTAAAAGGGTAGTTTTACAAAATTGTGTCTGCTGGTTGCTTGTTGAGGCTTCTAGAAGCAGCTCATCATTATGCTTAATGTTTCATCAAAGAATCGCAATGTATTCTTTAAGATGCTCATTTTGAACAGTTAAGTGTATGTTTGTGGGGCAATTACATCGTCCCTATTGATTTTCTCACCTCTTTTCAAGTCCGTAGTATCGGCTGTATACACCTAAATAGGAGTCTTTTACAAACTGTTGCACGACAGTGGAATTCTGCTTGATATGTTTGTTTTGGGAAAATGAGTTCTCCAGTCTTCTGTGATGGATCATTCTTGTGTTTAACCACATTTGGTTTTAGCAGAGCGCACTGTACAGTATTTCTCTCCCAACTATGTCACCTCCCGCTCCTGTTATTTTTCAGAGCAATTGCTTTGCGTCCCTCTGGAGCTACTTAATGCTCCCAATTTCCTATTCTGTGTGTTACCCATTCACCTGTACGGAGAGAAGAGTGGGCCCAATAAAAAATTCATGCCATTTTGCTGTTGGTTATTTGTTTCCATCACACGGGGAAATTAGACTCTTCATACAAAAGTGAGTCTAAGAATTCTCGCTTGTTAGTTCTTATATCCTTGGATATAAAGCAAAAAATTTATAATGATTACGGCAGAGTAACAGAAAGAAAATACTAGAAAAACTTCGAACCACCCATCACTTCCTTCAATATGTAAAGAAACACGTTGGGAATATTGGTGTTTGGAGGAAACCTGCTCCTCTCTTCTGCTAATGTAGATGGGGTGCTGCATCCCTAAGCGTTCTCATTACCTACACCTGAAAACGTGTCCTCCGAGAAAGTCAGGCACACAGCAGAGAGGATGAAAGCTGGGGTCTTCTGTCTCTGCATGTCTCTCTGGTCTCCCATACAGTCCCCACTCGGCCTTCCCCTCCCCCTGTCCCCCTGCCCGCTTGTGTTGTTATGTTTTTAAATTCTTTATTCTTTTTCCTTCCTACCTCCCTTTCAAATCAAGTTACATTCCTTTCTGCCACTTGAAACAGAGTCTTGGCTTCAATGTAAAGAGGTCATTCCTTTCTCTTTCGAGTATTTTTAAGCAAAAAGAGTGGGGGCTTGGCTTTGATAGGATGAGTGCTCGGCCAGGGTATTTTAAGGAAACTGGTCCATGGAAGCAGAGAGGTTTACTCACTGGGATGAAAGACAAAGGAAAAAAAAAAAACCCTCCTGCTTCCACCCCCAGGTCTCCTTCATGCTTCCAGGGAAACTTCAAAAGGTTACTATTTTCCTTTTTGAAAAGGGGAAAACATGCACTACAGAGGTATTAACCACCATTTTGGGGGTTCGTCCTTAACATTTAATTAGAAGTAGCCACAAATAGTAACTAGTAAAATGCATTAAAGCCTTAAATTTGCATCTGTTTAGTATGGGGCAAGCTGTTTACTGATTGGGATGGTGGTGTTTATCTGCAGTTACATTTATAATTGTGTTGCCTGCCCCCCCCCCACCGCCCGTACATGAGAGATTTACTTAATTACCATTGATTCTTGCTCTCAAAGGACTGAGAATTCAGACCAGAGCTTGGATGTATAAGGTGTTATAAAAGCAATGTTGTCCCGTTTCCAATTTGGCTAATAAATTGGCTTTACAGAAAAGCATCTTTCTGTGACACTTGGGAGTAAACCTTACGATGTGCTGATGTTGGGCAGTTGTTGAGGCTTCACTTTTGATAAATGTTTGTCTTTCAGTATATGATTAAATACCACCTCAGATCACGGGAACCTCCCCCCTCCCCCCAAAAAACTTATAAAGTTCTTAGCGGACTTGAAAAGTGCGTTGTAGACTGTAATTTGAAGGTGAAAGGAGAAATAAGTGAGCCTTGTATCTGAAAACTGGATAGATGATGCATTTATTTTAGTTTGCCTATAGAAAATTTCAGTGAAGTTGATTATTTTTTCACCTAGTGTTAATGTAGCAGAGAGATTAGGAGGTGACTGATATTTCAAGGAGGAAAACGCTTAATCATTATCAATGCATAGCTGGAAATAAGAGTTTACACAACCCTAAACCATGCAGATTAATCAAACTGACCTTCTCTAGTACTAATACGAGAAGGTATTCTCAGAAACTCTTTGAAAATCTCTAGTAAAACAGTTTTTTTTTCTTTCTGATTCAGGTGGAAATGACTCTGTGCCTGTAGAACACTCTAGGTCCCCTTAACGCTCAAATATTTCCTAATAGTTTAGGAATGGGAACTGTCGCTTCAGCCACATCTTCACCCAGTGCCAGTGGGACTTAAGGATAGCCTCAGAGCTTGAGTACTCATCACACTTACCAAACTTAGAGCTGAGGGGTGAAAAGAAAACACTTTGATAAGAGAGGGTAGGGTTCGGGTTTGCTGTTTACTAAAGGGTACAAGCCAATCCTACCAGGATTGTCAAAAAGAAAAACAGTGAAAGAAGGCTTTTCCTCGTTGAGTCACCTATGATTTTATGTGGCTCTTGCAGTGGATCTCTTGAGCCTGTCGGCTGCATGCGATGCCCTGGACCAGCACAACCTCAAGCAAAATGACCAGCCCATGGACATCCTGCAGATCGTTAATTGTTTGACCACTATTTATGATCGCCTGCAGCAAGAGCACAACAATCTGGTCAACGTCCCTCTCTGCGTGGATATGTGTCTCAATTGGCTGCTGAATGTTTATGACACGTACGTATAGCAGGCTTTCTCCAGACTATACCACTGGAGAGTTAGTCTACAGAACGGTGACGGTGTAATTAGCATCACAGCAGGGCTCCAGTCTAGAAATATGGTCCTCAGGATGAAAGTTTCATGAAGCCATGTGACCTAATGCTATCCCCGTGATTAATCATTGTTGCTTTTTTTTTTTTTTTTTTTGCGGTACGTGGGCCTCTCACTGTTGTGGCCTCTCCCGTTGCGGAGCCCAGGCTCCAGACACGCATGCCCAGCGGCCATGGCTCACGGGCCCAGCCGCTCCGCGGCACGTGGGATCTTCCCGGACCGGGGCATGAACCCGTGTCCCCTGCATCGGCAGGCGGACTCAACCACTGCGCCACCAGGGAAGCCCTCATTTTTGCATTTAATGGAACTGAAAAATACTTTGATAAGCTAGGAGGTAAGAACTCGAATGTAGCATGCTCTCAGATTAGAAAACAAACCAAACCCTGAGATACTCATTTTTCAAATAGTAGAATGAGTCAGTGTGTAGCCGTTAGTTCTTTCCCTTTCTTGCCTGTGAATTTTGAATTCCTCCGTCCTCTTCAGGGAGGGGCTCCCTCTCAGCGGCAGAAAGAGATGTGCTCCTGGAGATGCTGACACACCTGTCACCAGCTCTGAATAGTGTTAGCTGATACTCGAGAGATTTTTTTTGCAGAAGAGTGTAAATTGATAAGCCAAAAAAAAAAAAAAAGAAAAGAAAAGAAAAGAAAAGAAAACAAGCCCTAGTGCAGCAAATCCAGATCCTTAAACTGGGGAAGTCTTTTTTTTTTTTTTTTTTAATAAGGATTTACGAAGTTTCACTTTGGCACCTCTATTCGTCCCTCTCTCTTAGAAAACACTCTTATTTCTTTTGGACTGCACATAGGAGAGCTCCCCACTTTTGTCTTGAGCTTAATGAAGACAATTGAGGAAGGTAGCAGAAGGAATTGGTCTTAATTTCGACTGAATTCTTCTTAGACATCACAATTACTCTACGCCTGATTTCACATGTCAACAGGAACGTATTCGGCATTTGGAAATCTGGGAAGGTCTTCTGAAAGGAGTTGCATGGCAACTATTTGCTTTTGCCTTTGGTGTAGATTTCTACCACCTCCCGGATATAAATGTATACCTTTTTCTCTTTGTTATTTTGATAAGGTATTGCTTTTTAAGTTCCAAGATCACCTGGCTATTGAATTCTCATCGTTATCTACCAGGCCCTTGATCACGTTGGATTTTAATTACGGATTATCCTTAGATTTGCTTTGATAAGGGTTTCTGTTCAGGTCGTCCCTCAAATATATTTTGCCACCATTCTCTTTGCAGGTGATGTACGAATGGACTCTGAGTATATAACTTCCCTTCTCTATGCCTGAAAATTATCTGGGGACAACTTTAACTCCTCGAAGACCTGAGTCACTCTATAAAGTTTCTTAAACTTTGATTTGCCGTTTTAAAGAGGGAAAAAGCTAAAATCTTCCAGTGACGTAGTAGGACCCAGGATTTCTGTTTGCGTATTGTTCACCAAAAATAACCACTCTTGGGACCTATCCTTTGCAGTTATTCTACAGACTTTTTTTTAACCGACATATATGGTTCAGTTGTTTCTCATAGCAAAATAAAAGCTGAAAATCATCAAAAGACATTTTCTACAAAATGAAAAACTTTTCATTCTTTCAAGTTTTTCGCGTGGGCAAAATGAACTTGTTAATAAGTTTGTCACGTGGAATGGTTTATATGTAAAGTGAAAGCATACCTGTGTTAAAACACTGCTATAGCAATAGGTTATTTTTAATTTGCTCTTTAAGATCATCCATTCAAATGCTCCTAATAGACTAGATCATATTTTTCTTGTAGGGAGAAACGTTCATATTTTATACTGTGTGTTTTGTGACCTGAAGTGATTAATTTTCTTCTCAATAAGGGGCAATCTGATGAAAATCTACGTGAGTGTTAGGAGAGCAGAGCAGTTCGTTGCTGGTATTTTTTGGCTTCAGTAACTGAAGTAGGTGATTTTCTCAGTACATAGTAGTAATTCTTCCCCTTATCGACGTAAACCCAGGTGGCTCTCCATAGATGAGTAAAAGGATATTCTTGTTATTTTTACGTAGAGAAACTCTTACCATTCAAGTAAGGGCTTTTAAGAATTGAAAACTTGGTAAATGTTCACTGGTCGAGTTGGTCAAATTTCCACCGCGTTCTGGGTCATCAGCCAAATAGAGAATGAACTCAGAAACATTCTTAATGATCTTAATAAAACAATGGTCAGTAGAGTTTCCATATCCAAGGTTTTTTCTCTTAACTAAGAAGTGTTTATCGTTCAGTAAAGTGCCAGTGATTGTTTTCTGCTTTGATTATTCATAACAGGGGACGAACAGGGAGGATCCGGGTCCTGTCTTTTAAAACTGGCATCATTTCTCTGTGTAAAGCACATTTGGAAGACAAGTACAGATGTAAGTCATGTATATTAACTCAGTTTTCTTTTATTAATGTTGGCTAATTACCCCAGTTTTAGATGGGGAATAACATGGTGTTCTTATTTGGCAGCAGGTTCCTCATGTAAGATGTAGAACTACTTTCAGACTGTCATCAGACTTGATTTGTGCCGCTCCATGTCAGATGTTAAATTGTAGTTATTTAAATAGAGACTGAGGGTTAACTTCTCCAGTCCGAGTGTTATTTTACATTACATTGACTGTGTCTGAGTAAAACACATGTTCCTCGGGGTTAAAGTCCGATTTCCTAACCCCTTTGTCTAAGTCAGGAAAATAAATGTGAAGGTTTAATCTGTGCACTTGCCTCGTCTTTGGATGAAACCTTGTTTATTTTATAATCACCTTACTGCGAGTTGTACTGACGTGCCCAGTTCTGTGATGCGATTAACATTTTATTATTTGAGAGACAGCTTGCCGTTTCTTACAGGGTAAATAACACCTTAAAGAATTTCCTTTTGATTAGCTCTTGGGCTCTTCTGCTTAAAATTTGGAAATCCAAATTAAAAGCAAATGCTAGAGGAGGGACAGTGGAGATGACTAAGCAACCATTCATTCCCATTGTGGACGAATGTACTTGTTTTTCCCCTTTAAATGCTCGTGAGAAATCTTTTCGGCAGGAATATTAAACAAACCTAGTGTATCTTGTCTTTTCTCTTTTCCCCTAAGGCCTAGCCACACAGGGATGTGGAGATGTGCTGAGCTTAAGGACGGGCAGGAGATAAAAGAGACTGAATTCCTCCAAAGCCACGCTGTGTCCTACTGCTCATTTCCCCCCTAGGAGTAAATTTCCACAGAATACACAAGCTCTTTTAGCTCTCACTTTTTTGTAGTTTCCACTTGAGTTTTCTCATCCTAAGAACCCAAGAAAAAAGAACAGAACAGCTTTTGTTAGCCATTTGAAAATGTGTTTGGGATAAAACAGAATTATTTCTGTGGGCTTTCGTCCTTTAAATATCGTAGTTACTTGTGTTAGGTATAGTACCAGCACATCGTAATACTAACTTGATTCATCAAGGAAGCTTTCAGTTTGTGTTTCAAATAACTACTGAGAGGGAACAGGTTTCAGGTTGGCGAAGCAAAAATGTTAACTTCAAGCGGGGCTATTTGAAGATAATTCATAATTCTGAACTTATGTGTGTGTACTGGAGAGGCAAGAAAATGCTGTGAGAGCTCAGTGTTGTTACTGCCATCTTAAATATCTCGTTAAAACATTTAATGTCTTCGAGTTTAAAGTGTGCTTATGAGTAGGAAAATATTCCGTGGATTTACTTTTTGGGCAACTTTTATTTGAACACAAGGTAGGATTAAAATAATTTTATTTCTGAGAACAAAACATGTTGCAAGTGTTTGGCATATTCATTCATCCTGTGAATGCACGTATATTGGGCACCTGCTATCCTCCAGCTGCTGCTCTCCTACTCCACACATTTCCGGCACACAGTTGACCAAGATATGGTCCCAACCTTGAGGGGATATCATTCTTCAGCCAAAAAGACACATATTACGTCAGTGACAGTGTAAAGTGTTATGAGCTAACTACGAATATGTACAGCGTCCTGTGGGAACATGTACGAGAAACTCAGTGATCGTATGACTTCATAAAGAAGGCCCAATTTTGATATATTTTGGAATCTGATGTCCAAGGGGGATGGTGCTTTGGGCCCATTCTGTGTTTCTTAAGGCTGAAACAGTTATTTTATGATGGTGGTCATGTCCTATATATAAAATATTTTCCAAAGTATTGTGTTGTGGCTTAGGAAAAACTCACATGTCAGAACTGTACGTAAGCTCTCATTACTTGCGGGCTGTAGTTTATTTAAAAGTTGTCACTCTTCATATATACACAGTGATGATTAACTTGATCCATACAAATAATAAATGTGCAGATTAGTGTACAGTAGGAGTGCACTGTGGGAATATTGGCTACTCTTGAGAATTGGTGCTGGAATTGAGTTGGTCCTTAGATTCTGCTAACATCTACTTGGTTCTGCTTTTTGATGGTTGCAATTCTCTTTTTCCTTTTGTAGACCTTTTCAAGCAAGTGGCCAGTTCAACGGGATTTTGTGACCAGCGCAGACTGGGCCTCCTTCTGCATGATTCTATCCAAATCCCAAGACAGTTGGGCGAAGTCGCATCCTTTGGGGGCAGTAACATTGAGCCGAGTGTCAGGAGCTGCTTCCAGTTTGTAAGTTATTCACCTTCTTAAGTAACATACTTATTCTTTTGTATTTTAGAAATTAATATAAAGCCCCACAGAACTGTAGTTTCTCATGTTAGCTCTTCCGTAGGCAGGTAGGTAAGGGACTTTTGATATTTGAAACCTCTGTAGGCAGTGGCTTCTGGAACTGTGGGTTTGGGGAGAGAGGACAGTGCAAAGGAAGGGAAAGAAATCTGCGTCTGCAGCCAGAACCCCACAGTTCCTAAGATGTTGGGAGGGAAGGGAGTCTGCCTGGTTTAGCGAGGGAGGAAATAAATCTCCAGCCAGAGAAATCCTTTGTAAAAAAGAAAATGACCTTGGTCTGGGAGTGTCTTAGTCTCTTAGTTTTTTTTTTTTTTTCCTAACCTAACCTAATTCTGTCATCGTAGCCTTCTTTTCAGCAGCTGTTGGTAAATAGTTGACACAGCTATCTTTTTTTAAAAACATAAATTTATTTATTTCTTTTTGGCAGCATTGGGTCTTCGTTGCTACGCGCGGGCTTCAGTAGTTGTGGCGCATGGGCTTAGTTGCTCTGCGGCATGTGGGATCCTCCCAGACCAGGGCTCGAACCCGTGTCCCCTGCATTGGCAGGCATATTCTTAACCACTGCGCCACCAGGGAAGTCCCTAAAGTTTTCCTTTTGTAACTTTGACATTCCTCTACTGTTCCAAGGCCTGGATGGTGACTTCCCATAGGCTTACAACCAGGTCGGAGGTTTGTACTCTCTGCTAATGTCTGTCACTAGCTCCACACACTCCTGTCCATTCTCCTTCGTATCCTGCCTCAGTGCCTTTTCCACACCATAATCAGTGTCCCCAGAAATACCCTCTTCCTCCCAAGTGCCTCAGCGCTCCGTGGATAGCCATTTAGTTTGTTTCTCTTTTTTGGTAAGATAGATAATGCTGCAGTGAACATCCTTATGTAGTTAGCTCTTTTCTTTGACGCGAGTTTTTCCCTTAGGAAAAATTCTCAGAAATGGGATTGCCAGATATGAACAGTTTGGTGGCTTTTGATACATATTACCGGATGGCTTTTTGTCAAAAGTTGTTTGTAGTACCACCAGCACTGAAGGAATGAGATATTTGGAGTGTTACATTATTCACAGTGTTCTTATGTCGTTTTTCAAATGGTAAGAACTGTTCTTCTTGTATGGGGTTTCTCGATCCGTCCATGCTACTCTCATTACCGGTAGAACTAGGTGTACAAATAACTGGGTTAGACCTGTATGTAGTCTGACCACACACTAGGATAAAACCATAGAAGGCCTTCTGGGCAGAACATTTTGAATATTTAGATATTTAGAGCACTTCTAGCATTCATGTAATAGTTCACTGGGCGGAGTAAATAAATGCACACCATAATAAGACCACTTAATGTAGCACTGGATATACTGTTTGGATTGTTTTGCCAAAATTATGGCAAATTGGCTATAAAAGTAAAACAGATGTGGCGAAATAAATGCATTTCTTTCACCTCATACTCAAATCTCCCAAAACGTGAATAGACTGTCACTTCCTCTGGGTTTTTTCTTACATGTTGCAGCATTAACATTTCTACTCCAGAACGCAGACACAAGGAACTTTCACACAATGAATATTAATGGCCACAAATAGTCCAGATCCATTTTTTTCAAAATCCTGTTGTAAACAACTTGCAGTGACTTAATTTTTTTTCCGAAGCACTTTCTCTTCAGTCAAGTTTCAGTGACTTTTTCCTTTCTAATTGTGAAACCACACACACACACACACACACACACACACACACACACACGTACACACACACGTGTTCGCATATACATATATACACAGTTGTGTATGTCTTGTGACTGAGGTTGAGAGTAACGGTCAGAGATCGAACCTGCCGACAGCCATCTCTATCGAGAGGCAGTTCCTGCCGCAAAGTCAGGCGGGCTGGCCTCAGGGCCACTGGAGCCGTTGTCCTGTCACCTCGCGGAACTGATGGTGCTGCAGCCACCGTCACCCTCACTGCAGACTCTGGCTCTCTCTGTTTTGTTTGGTTTTTTTTTAATGTATCTGACATATAACATGGTGTAAATTTAAGGTGTACAACACGTTGATTTGATGCATTTATATATTGTAATACGATTGCCATTGTAGCAGTAGTTAGCGCCATCACATCATACAATTACCATTTCTCTTTTGTGGTGGGAATAAGTAAGCTCTAGCCTCTTGAACTTGGTTGTCGGGACAAGGGGCTGCTGAACAGAAACTCTACTTCCCGTCGTGCCGTCCTCTTGTCAGGAGCCCGGTCTGTTCCACGACAGCCTGTTGGCATTCTCTTGCGGGCTGCTTGCCTTCTTCGCTCACCTGCTTCCTCTTGTTTCGCTCCGTCCCTGTCACAGCTACGCTCTCTTCTCAGCGTCAGAACTTTGAACTCAGTCCACTACCCGATGGCACAGTGATTGAACACGTCCTGGCTAGCCAGTCTCCAGGCTCTCAGAAAGGTCTTTTGTGAGATTGGGGGGAAATCCATCAAGATATTAACAGTGGTGACAGGACAGGGTTTTTTCCCTACTCTTTTGTATTTTCCAGATTTTCTTCTTTGAACATTTAGAATTAGGACAAAAAATGAGTAAAGTGCTAACTTTTCTTTTTAAGGGAAAGAAGCACCTTTTGTGTGATTCCTATTCATTGCCACTCATACGCTATTTTCAGGCCTTCTCATCACTTGCATAGATTATTGCACTGTCTTCCTAGCAAGCCTCCTCTAGACCCCCTGGTGCCTTTCGCCAGTCTCACTGCTCTCATACTGGTTTTACAGAAGCGTATTCAGTGTATGACACCGTCCTTCGAAATCTTCGATTTCTTTTCATGGTCCACTGAATAAATCCTAATTTCTCTACTTAACTCTCAGACCTTTCCTGATCTGTTTCCATAGCTGCCCACGGTTTGCTTTCACTCCCAAGTAAGAGATTCTCCCTACCATTTGTACTGACCATGCTTGTAAATAATACCGTTACTACTGCTACTGATGGTAATATTTTACTTGTGTTCACACAGTTCTCTCATTTAATCTTCCCAAACCCTTTGAAGAGAATAGAATAAGCAGGTTGGGGGGGTTGTTTTTATGGTTGTTTTAATAGATGAGCGCCCCTGCGTTTCCTCAGCTGGTGGAAGAGTTTGATTCCTAGTCCAGAGCGCATGCCTCCCCGCCCCCCCCCC